AAAAAAAAAAAAAAAAAAAAAAAAGGCAATTTTAGCAACATGTCAATTGAATATTAAAAAGAATACTTATACAAATTATTATGCTCTTAATAATGAAAATAATAGAAACATGGTTCTGAAATTACAATAAACAAAGTTTCCAAAAGAAATGCTTACCTCCCGAAAGGTCTCTCTGTAAAAGCTCTCTAGTTCTGCTCTACAGATTTGAATTCTCACTTGCCTTTGAATGCTTTATAATATATAGTTCTGAAATAAATCAGATAAATTTAATCTATTCGGAAAATGTGGGCTTACCAAAATTAAAGAACTAAAAATGATGCTGGATAGTTGCTTGGTGGCTATTTTTTACATGAGGTCACAGACTGAACCCTCTAACTTCTCCAAAAGAAAACATAGTCAGACAGAAGTCACAAGGTTCGACTTTTAATAGTACATGGGAGACAGTGTCTCTTTTATAAGAGTCTGACAGAAAATGCTTCACTAAAAAATCAAATCAAGTGATAATTCTATTTTTAAAAAATCTAAATCCCATTCTACCCAAAAGCTTAAAAACCAATACTTTTTTATTTTTATAATTTAAAAGTTTTCTCTTCTCTTTTTTTTTACCCTTATCCTGTTAGTAGGCTAAGAATGCAGTAACTTTTGTATTAATTTGACACATTAGCTGAATGTATAGAGGCCAGAAATACTGGACAAAAGGCATAGAAACAAAAAATTAGGAGAGTATAATGCAGAAAGAGATGTAGACTAAGAATAGGAAGGATAGTGACCAGGAGTCTTAACGTGTCAGTCATCTACATTCTATCTGTAAAGAAAGAAAAAAAAAGGTGCAGGCCACTTCTGAATTGAGCAGTCACTCTGCTATTTAGTACTCAGTGATCCCAGGCCATTTACATAACCACTTGAAGCTTCAGCTTCCTTATCTGTAAAATGGGAATAAGTACAGCACCTACCTCATTATTGTGCATTCAAAGAGATTCAATGAGAGAGTGTAAAGCACTCAGTACAGTACTTAGTACTTTAAGAAAGTGCTCAACAAATACATGGTGATGATCTTATCATCATTACCTGTCTCATATCTTTTGGCTGTGTGAATCTACAATTTGGAAAACTTTATAAAATCCGACTTGCAAACAGAAGCAAGGATCTCACCTTACATGTATACTCAACGTAGGGCTTTTCCTAAGCCATGAGAACAGTAACAGGCCCCAGATGGTCTCATCTCTACTTTCCCAAGTCAGCATCTCCCTTATCAGAATCTACTGGGCTTTGGGCCTACTATGGCCAAGATAATAACAAGCTAATTTGATGAGCAACGCTACTGCTGCGCAGATGTGGGCACTCCATTGATAAGTGGTGTTACTTTTGTGCGAGTGTGGGCGCTCCATTGATGAGCGGTGTTACTTCTGTGCGAGTGTGGGCGCACCACGGATGAGTGGTGTTACTTGTGTGCGAGTGTGGGCGCTCCACGGATGAGCGGTATTACTTCTCTGCGAGTGTGGGCCCTCCACGGATGAGTGGTGTTACTTCTGTGCGAGTGTGGGCGCTCCACGGATGAGCGGTATTCTGTGCGAGTGTGGGAGCTCCACGGATGAGCGGTGTTACTTCTGTGCGAGTGTGGGCGCTCCACGGATGAGCGGTGTTACTTCTGCGTGAGTGTGGGCTCTCCACGGATGAG